CCCATCAGGCCCTAGGCAGCCCTGCCCCTGTCCTCCCTCGCTCCCTGCAGCCCGGCCCTCCTCACTTGCTCCCCACAGCCTGACCATGAGCGCCCCGGCTGCCAGTCCGCTCTTCGCGCCCGGGGAGGACTGCAGCCCCGCGTGGCGCGCGGCCCCGGCGGCTTACGATGCATCCGATACGCACCTGCAGATCCTGGGCAAGCCGGTGATGGAGCGCTGGGAGACCCCCTACATGCATGCCCTGGCGGCCGCCGCCTCCTGCAGAGGTAGCCGGCGAGAGGAACTGAGGCTGTGGCCCACGACTGCATGCCTCAGTTTCCCTGCCGGGGGAATGTGGGCGCAGAACGGAAGGATCACGGGAGGGTGTTGCAGAAATGAGAATCCAGGCAGGAGGAAGTTCCTCAATGAGGGAAGTGTCCCTGCAGGTCAGGCTGGGCTGGGGCTAGGGCCTCCAGAACCTCCCGAGGTTCGGCAGGGCTAAGAATAGTTCAAGAAAGCTGATTACACAGGCAGCTGTCCCATGTGGTGGCCCTGATCACCGGGTGTGGGAGGTTCAGGGGGTGTCTGGAGGTTCAAGGGGTGTCTGGGGGCAGGGCAGGTGGGCACTGTGCTTCCAGGTTCCCAGCTGGTACAGATCTGGTGTGGGTGCAAAAGGCGACCCAGCAGGTGTCAGGTCTCTGCTAATCCAACAGTAAACAGGGAAAGAAGGGAATGGAAAAAATTAACGAAGAGAGAGATAGGCTGTAGCACTAACAGCGTGGGCAGCGGCTCAGAGTCCGAGGCCCTGACCTCCCGCGGGGGGCTGGGTCCCAAAGCTGTGGCCTGTCCGTGGCCTGCCAGGCTGGCCACTCCAGTTGGCCGCTGTCCCAGGCCCACAGGATTCCCAGCCATCCTTGGTACTCTGTTCTATCCACCCACAGGGCCCTGCTGGCCGCCATCCTTGAAGCAACCAGGGCTGCTGTGACTGACGACTTTTGTGCCCCCCTTCCCCCACAGGGGGCCGTGTTCTGGAGGTGGGCTTCGGGATGGCCATTGCAGCCAGCAGGGTGCAGCAGGCCTCCATCGAGGAGCATTGGATAATCGAATGTAATGATGGGGTGTTCCAACGGCTACAGGACTGGGCTCCCCAGCAGCCACACAAGGTACCCTGGGCCCTAGGAGCGCAGCCTGGGGGCAGGGAGGTCAACCCCTCCTGACCATCAACTTTCCCTTTTGTTATCCTCTCTTCAAGGTTGTCCCCTTGAAAGGTCTGTGGGAGGAGGTAGCGCCCTCACTGCCTGACTGTCACTTTGATGGTGAGCGGGATCTGGGAGACTGGGAAGCATGCTGGCCTCCAGTTCCTATCTGGTGGCCTTGTGCCTGCCAGTCAACACATCCCATTTAGCCCAATGGAGGAATCTTGTAAACACACCTTCCCAGGCCAGTGAGAAGGCTTAGTGGGTAAAGGTGATTGTAGCCAAGCCTGATGGCCTGATTGCCATCCCCAGGTCAGGTCCCTCTTGGTGGTAGATAATGGACTTCCACAACTGTCCTCTGACCTCGCCCCAAACAAACCCCCGCTAAAATGTGCACTGGGAACAGAACTCAGGGGCAAGGCCACATGAGGACTGGGTAGTGCTAGGCAGAAACCACCCCTCCATTGGAGTGAAGCCTGTAGAGTTCTAGGATGGGCCAAGTGAGGTGAGGTGAGGCTGTGGACGCCTGACTGGCAGGTGTGTGTCCCCCATGTAGGGATACTGTATGACACGTACCCACTGTCTGAGGAGACCTGGCACACCCACCAGTTCAACTTCATTAAGGTGGGACTATGCCCCATGAAGGGTCAGTGGGTGGGGCTTGGACATCCACAGACCCTGCTTCTCTTCCCACTCTCCTGACCACCAGCCTGTTCCCCTAGAACCATGCCTTCCGCTTACTGAAGTCTGGGGGTGTCCTCACTTACTGCAACCTCACTTCTTGGGGTGAGCTCATGAAGTCTAAGTATTCGGACATCATCACCATGTTTGAGGTGATTATCCACTGCCTCAGGGGTGGCTGTGGCTGGCCTGTGACCTTTACACATAGACAGCAGATGGGCCTCCCCATGGCTCCCCAGGGCCCTGGCACAGCCCAGGCTATTCACTGCCCCCTGCGTGGGCCTGCCCACCTGTTGCATGAATGGGACCAGGACAGCTGAGTGAACCATGCACCTTGGGTCACCCACAAGCCCTCTGTCCTGTCTAGGTTTTTTCCTGCTGGAGGCCTGCGGGCGGGACCAGCATCTGAGGTCACACATGGAGCAGCTGCCCATGTTGAGATTCAAACTCACACAGGGCCTTGTCCTCCCATGACCCTGGGTTCCTCCTCACAGGAGACGCAGATGCCTGCCCTACAAGAGGCAGGCTTCCGGAGGGAGAACATCCGCACAGAGGTGATGGTCCTGGTCCCGCCAGCTGACTGCCGTTACTATGCCTTCCCTCAGATGATCACACCGCTGGTCACCAAGCACTGAGTGTCCCACCTCTGTGGGTCTCCCCAAGTGTGATACCCTCACTCTGCCTGGCCCTGCTACCTGCCTGGCTCAAGGGTGAAATAAAGGCTAATGAGAGACCTGGTGGGTCGGCAATGAGGTGGGTGTAGCATTCTGCCGACCCCTTCCCATGGCTCCCTCTGTCCCTGGACACCTGCCTTGGCAGACACAACCAGTCAGTCAGTCACTGATGCTGTGGTCCAGCCTGGTTCACATGCAGCAGAGGCCCAGAAGGGATAACTGTCAGGGTCTCACTGAGGTCAGGGTGGGGTTGACTGTCCCATAGGGACCCTCAGTCCAGCCTGGCATATCTGGAGCCCTAAGAGCCACAGAGCCCAGATACACTGAATGTCTGGTGTCACATGCTAAGGGGCACCTGTGATAGCCAATCACTTCAGGCTGCTGCTGCCTTTGTTGCCAGCCAATTCCTGGACTACCTGCTCACACCCAGCCTCCTGCTAGGAAGCCCTCCCTCTAGGCCTCCAACACCCCCACAGCCCTGTCCCCTCCCCATAGCTCGGGCAAGTTGTCCCCTACCTGGAATGCTCCCACCTTGCAGGATCTTGTCTTAAAAGCTACCCTGGGGCTGGGCAGGGCTCCTGCTGCACCCATCTCCTGGGTGCCCCCATACTGGCCCTGATGGTTGGAAAATGCCAGCTTCCCAGGTATCTTCCTGCCACATGGCAGGCATAAGCCAAGATCCAAAAGCACCAAATGTTTGTTGGATGAATATGTTTGCTGAGATTGGAATCATCTAGGCTGAAGTCTGTGAGGGGTAGGAAGGGCCAAGGGTCCCTGCCACCCTGGGGGCAGATGTCCACTAAGGGGCAGATAGCCAGACCTGAGTCTCCAGCTGCTTTATGATGACACCCACTGCCATTCTCACTTGCTCAGAAGTGGGCAGAGGTGGCTGTCTAAACTCTGGGGCTCAGTCTGAGGAGAGGACAGACCACTGAGGGAGATGGTGCTAGGGGCCACAGTCTGCTGCTGGCCATAGCCAGACTGGAGCCCCAAGTCTTCAGAGGGTGCAGGAGGCCTGTCTCTCAGCGGGGCCATACTGGACATGGACATGTGCACACAAGTCAGGGTTCAGTTGGGTTTATTCACACTGGGATCCTGCATGAGGCTTTCTACCTGCGGTACCAGATCTTGAGCCTCTGCTCCCGCTTGATCTTCCGCTGCAGCTGCAGGATGCCATAGAGCAGCGCCTCTGCCGTGGGTGGGCAACCTGTGGGAGACCAAGGGCTGTTCAGTCACTGTGCAGCTGATGGGCCCTGGGTCCAGGCTTGCAGAATAAGGGTCCTCTTCTTTGAGATATCCATAGCCCCATGCATAGAAGGGGGTTCAGGCAGTGACCCCCAGTGGCCAGCCTGTCCTCAGATAGTGCCACGAGGGGTGGTGGCCTGAGAACCCAGGCCACAGGGAGCTCAGAGGTCTAGGGATGGCACTTCCAGCCCCAAGCACCTCCCTTTCACCTGTCCCCAGCCTGCTTCCCAGAGGGCCTCAGATAGAGGGGCCACCTTGGGTCAGTGGGAAAAATCAGAGGCAGGCTAGGCCAGGCTAGGCTGCAGGAAGGCTCCTCCAGGAGGGGTGCAGGGAGGCCAGCTCACCCTCAAGCTGCTGACCAGAAGCCAGTGCAATGTCACTGGCCTCCACCCTTGGGAATGCTGACCACAAAGGTCCTTGATGCTCTGGGGACCTGGACTGGGCTGTGTGGCCTGCAGCCACTGTCTGGTGGCAGGGTAGCCTCACCTGGCACATAGATGTCCACGGGGACAATGCGGTCACAGCCTCGCACAACTGAATAGGAGTAGTGATAGTAGCCCCCACCATTGGCACAGCTGGAGGAAAAGGGGGAACGATCAGATAGCAGCCAGTCCACCCCATCCCTCGCTCCACCACCACCAGAAAATAAGAATCCAGAGACAGCATGTACATTTGTGGGAGTCAGGGACTGGGAGGGGATGAGGTGAGGGATCATGGTGTGGGGCAACTGTTCTGGAACTAGACAATGAACTTTGTCACCTTCTGGATGGCACCCAAGGCCTGAGCTGCACACCCTTGGTTACGGTAAAGGAAAAGGAGCGACTGGGCTGGGGATGCAGCTTAGCCACAGAGCACTTGCCTGGGTTCAACCTTCGGGTCCTACACTCACCTCCCCATGGACACCACATAGCGTGGCTCTGGCATCTGGTCATACACCTGTAAGACATGGGAGTCAGGTACTTGCGGGGGGCCAGGAATAGGGTAGACAGCAACAGGAACCTGGAAACCGGGGTACCTTGCGCAGTGCAGGGGCCATCTTGTTGGTGAGTGTGCCAGCCACGATCATCACATCAGCCTGGCGAGGGCTGGCCCGGAACACCACTCCAAAGCGGTCCATGTCATAGCGTGGTGCAGCCATATGCATCATCTCCACCGCGCAGCATGCTAGGCCGAAGGTCATGGGCCACATGGAGCTCTGTGTGGTGGAAGACAGTCAGCATGAGTGAAAGGGATGGTGTGGTGGCCACCCATGGCTGTCCTGCACCCAGGATTCCCCTGGCATCCTAGGTGCTGCTCAGGGACGTGCTGGAGACAAACTAGCTTGGTCGCCCTCCATGGCTCTGCCTGCTGCTGTTGTCAAGCTCTGGTCTTCAAAGCAGCCTATGGACAGCAGGGTCCTCCTGGCTGCGGTGCTGCCCTTGGGACCCTTTGGTGGGCACTCTGTCCTGGCAGCTGCGAGCTCCAGTGGGGACCCACAGGACAAAGGTAAACTCAGGGCACGCCCATCAATGGACAATTGTCATACATGGGCTATCACACCCAGGCACGGGCACCAATCCAAGCTGCTGGGTGACAAGAAGCTGGACACCAACCAGCATGCACAGGAGAGAGGGTGTACAGAGTAGGGGCCACTGGGGTACAGTGGAGGAGGCTCTGGAGTTTGTGGAGGACACAGGCATGCCACCTCTCTTTGTTAAAAAATAATTTTTCGGTTTGGTATACATGTTATACAAATGTGAGGTCAAAGCCAGCCTGGTCTACATGATGAGTTCCAGGCCAGTCAGCACTATGTAGTGAGACCCTGTCTCAATAAATGAGGGGCTAGAGATCTGGCTCAGCAGTTAAGAACACTGGCTGTTCTTAGCACCCACATGCAACTAACAACCTATGTGTAACTCCAGTTCTAGGGGATCTGATACCCTCTTCTGGTCTCTGAGAGCAGTGCATGCATGTGTCACACTTACATACATGCAGACAAAACACTCATACACATAAAATTAAAAAAGCCCAATGAATAGAAAATGAATTTTTATGAGGAAATAGCTCAGTAGGTAAAGGCCCCAAGCTGATGACCTGAATTCAATTTCTTGGGCCCACATGGAGGAGAGACCAACTTCCACAGGTTGTCCTCAGCCCTCCATATTTGAGGAGTGGCTTGTGTGCATACACACATTCACACGAAGTACATTTTAAAGTGTAATCAAGGGGGCTGGAGAGATGTCTCAGTGGTTAAGAGTGTTTGCCATGAGAACCCAAGTTCAGGTCCCAGCACCCACATAAGCTTGGTGTCTCACTAGCTAGAGTCTGCACCCAGAGGTGGACACACATAAACAAGTCCTTAAAAACTGATTTTGGAGCTGGGTGTGGTGGTGCATACCTTTAATCCCAGCACTCTGGAGGCAGAAACAGGCGGATCTCTGTGAGTTCAAGGCCAGCCTGGTCTACATAGCAAGTTCCAGCTACAGGGAGACCCTGTCTCAAAAAGACAGAAAAAAAAAAACCCAAAAAGCCCACCAACAAAACAAACAGATTTTGAACTATTAGATGACACAGGGCACAAAACCAGCAGAGGGAGCTGCTTACAAATGTGCACACTGGATGCCCTGGACAGTGTTGGTTTGACAAGACAGGGACTCACCCTGCGGGCCCAGTTGATAAGGTCATCCAGCTTGGTTATCACATACTCAGCACGACTTCTGGGAAGGCTGGAGGGTTTGGGAACCACAGCTCCGGCCTTGGATAGGGCAGGCTGTGAGCTAAGCACAAGATGGTGGGCCCACACAGTCAGCCTGGCTGCCCGATGTCCCTGCCCCAGAGCAGCCCCCAGGGGGAGGAATACAGGTGTCATAAGGGGACCCAGGACAGAATTAAGTCACCCAGATGCCCATGAGCCAAGACTAGGCCTGATAAAGGAAGCAAGGCAGGCTGCCCACGCTGGGGAGGGGAGAGGGGAAGGCAGGATGGCAGGGCGGGGTGGGGTGGGGTACAGGGTACAACCATAAAATCAGGCCCCTTCACTGGGAGGGGTGGTGCACACCTTTAGTCCCAGCACTTGGGAGGCAAAGGTAGGTAGATCTCTGTGAGATCGAGGCCAGCATGGTCTACACAGTGAGTTCCAGGCCAGCTGGGGCTACAAAGAAAAAGCTGGCCCCAGGGGGCAGCAGGCAGAGCAAAGGTGTGGCACCCTCCCTAAGGCTGGCCTACCTGCTTGGGCCCTCCATGGCCACACTGTGGTGGACACTGCACACCGGTGCCACTGTGCATACACCAGACCTGTAGGAAACAGACAAGGGTGAATGGCCACTAGAGTCTTGCTAGCTGCTCCTATTCCCACAAAATGGAGGTGACTGCCCTGCCCTGCCCAGGGCTATGCTTATGTTTCTCTGTGGGCTGGTGCCATAGTTTCTCACGAGGGCCCTCGGGGGTCATCACCCACCCTGGGAGACAGACCAGACGTTTCCACAGCTACTTCCTTCTGAAACACACCAGCTGGTCAACAGGTGTCTAGGCCTAGCAAGGACAGTCCCCAGGATCAATCTATAGTGGGGTTCAGAGACCAGGCCCTCTGCTCCCTACCAAGGGCACTCTCAGAGCCCTGTCACAAGACTAGCATGTGGAGGTCCAGGTGGGGCTTGCAGAAGGCCTTGCTGGGAGTGGCAGTAAGGGCACAGAGCCAGCAGACATGGGTGGAGTCCAGCTTTGGCCATCGCTCTCCCAGACTGTATCTTGGAACCCTGTCAGCCAGTCCCAGGCTCCTGACAGGCAGGTGGCCCATCACTTACCTCAGGATCCGCACAAAGAGCAGGCCAGGAGCTGTGGAGGGAAGTGCAGAGCTATGAGCTGCAGGTACCAGCACAGGGCAGCAACTGGGAGCTAGCAGCCAGCCTACAAGCAGGGCCCCATTTCCAGCCCCTGCCACTTGTTAAGCAGGCCCCACCTGTCACACCCTCACTCTTGTTCTCCAGTTCAGTCTCAAGAAACCCAGACTGTACACCAAGGTTGCCCTCCCCTTGTAACTCACCTCTCCTTCATCTCCTGCACCCCCATTGCTCCTGCCCCAGGGCCCTTGAACAGGCTGCTCCCTCTGTGCAAAACAGCCTGCCTCACATTTGTGTACAGTAGGTCCCTCTAGGGGGCAGGGATTCAGCATCCTGGGGTTGGGGATCTTCCAGGAGGAGTAGCCCCAAGCAGAAACAGGGTCTGACCAGATGGGAGAGGGCATAGAGGGGGAAAAAGATCCTGGTAAATGGGAGGGGGGAGTCCATGCAGGGGCCAGGATGGAGACATGCCCTACACTGACTTGTGTCCCCCAAAGCCATGCCTAGGAGCCTCCACCACAGCACATAAGAATAGGGGCATCTGCATCAGATCTCTCCAGAGGCAATTAAAGTACGGTGAGGACACTAAGATGTGCAGCAGGATGGCAGGGTGGCATTAAGATGGCTGCCCCTCATCCCCACCTCCCCATCCTGCAGGGGCTGTCCCAGATGGGGCCACTTAGAAAGTTACTCCACATTCCTGGAGGTCCCCACCAAGCTGTGGGGCTTCTTCTGAGGCCCAAGGTGGCGGCAAACCACATCCCCATCTCTCCTCAGCCCCATCTTTAACCTCAAACAGGGCTCTTGCTTCCCAAGGTCAGGACTGTGGCCAATCGCTTGGCAGCTCCAGGCTGGGCTGATGACAGAGTAAACTGCCCAGTCTTAAGGTTTTCTATACGAGGTTTTCATGCTGGGCCTCAGTTTCCAGATCTGAGGGTTTAAGACTTTGGATACAACAAAGTAAACACCATACTGGGTGGCTAGGTAGCAGCATCAGGCTTTTTGAAAAGAAATATTTTTATTTTTCTGAGACATTGTCTCCCTGTAGCCACAGCTGGCCTGGAACTTGTTATGTAAACCAGGCTGGCCTCAATCTCACAGAGATTCACCTGCATTTGTCAACCAAGTGCTGAGATGAAAGGCATTCTATTTATTTTTATTTTCCATGTATGAGTGTATGCAAGTGCACCTGTGTCATGTAAAGTTCAAAGCCCATGGAGGCCAATAAAGGGTGTCAGATCCCCTGAACTGGAGTTTCAGATGGTTGTTAGCTGCCATGTTAGTGTTGGGAATCAAACCCAGGTTCTCTGCAAGAGCAGCCAGTGTTTGTAACTGCTGAGACTCTCCGGTGCCCACCCCCCTGCTTTTTTCTTTTAACTGATGCAGGGTCTCATTGTGTAGTACAAGCTGGGATCCAATTCATCATCTACTTGCTTCAGCCTCCCCAGGGCTGTGATCACAGATAGAGGCCACCATGCCCCACTATGGCCATGTGAGATTCCAAAAGTGGCAGCCAATGCCACCAATCCATGCGGTCTGCTCTTCAAGACTCCAAAATCACAGCTGGACAAGACAAGACCCGGGTGGCCCAGGACTGTAACCCCAGCACTTGGGAGACTGAAGTAGGAACACCTCGAGTTTGAAGCCACTCTGAGCTACAAAGCAAGACCCTGTCTCAAAGAGAAACAAAACCAAGGTAGGCATAGTATCAGGAGTCGGTCATCCCAGCACTTGGGAGGAAGAGGCTAGAGGGCTCTTCCCTACACATGACATCTTGTCTCAAAAAACAAGTATAAGCCAAACAGGTTGGCTCACACTTTAATCTGAGTATTTGGGAAGCAGAGGGATCTCTGTGAGACAGGGCCAGCCTGGGCTACATAGTGAGTTCCAGGCCAGCTGGGGCTACAGGAGACCCTGTCTCAAAAACAAACAACAAAAACAAATATAGGACTCAGTGGACAGAGTTTGCCTAGCATGGGTGAAGTCCTAGGTTTATCTACAGCACCCAACCAGGTGTGATGGCTCAACTGTCATCCCAGCACTCAGGAGGTGGCGGTAGATGGATCAGGAGTTCAAGGTCAGCTACTTGGTGCGTTTGAGGCCAACCTAGGCTAGGCTAGAGGAGACCCTGTCTCAAACACTACAACAATGCTGGGGTGGTACGGCGCATGCCTTGAATCCCAACACTCAGGAGGCAGAGAAAGGTGATTTCTGTAAGATCAAGGCCAGCCTGGGCTACATAGGGAGTTCCAGGTCAGTTGGGGTACAGGGAGATCCTGAGGTTGGGGGGGTTGCATTCCTGCCTGTTTCTCCCTTTGCTGGGGAAGCACTAGCCCCCTCCTCTCTTCATCCGGAGACTGGGTGTGCGGTGCTCCCGCCATCCCTCCCCTGAAATCTGAGGCGGAGTTTGCATTCCTGCCTCAGTTTCACAGACTGTAAACGGCTGCAATAGCAAGGCCTGTAGGAAGAGTTCCGAATCACACCTCAGCCCGACCCCGACATGCTCCTGAGCTAGGAAATGATCTCTGGACCTCTGAAGACCCCGATGTCCCAGCCCAGGCCACGAACCCCCAGGACCCGCGGACCCAGCTGACAACTCATGACTGCCACGCTATCCCAACCAAAGAGCCTTGCTCACCCGCCAGAGCCGCCATCTTGGCTTCGGCCTTCAGACAACCTTTGCTGTCCGTTTCCCTAGCACTCCCGCTACTCGGTCCATCACCCAAATCGGCACGAGGGGAAACCAGCACCCGGAGATCACTTGTTCCGAAACACTTCAGTAGGGCACGCGTAGTATGCGCACGCGCACCGCTTGTTCCGAAGTCAATGAACTGCAGAAACAGAAGGACAAGCAATGGCCTTGACCTATGACCATTATCTTAGGAAGGGAAAAAAGGGATAAGCACTTACGTCCCTGGGTGGGCTCGAACCACCAACCTTTCGGTTAACAGCCGAACGCGCTAACCGATTGCGCCACAGAGACGACGTTACAGTAATTGCTCCGACACCGCCCTACGTAAGAAGCGCAAGGCCACAAAGTGCGCCTGCGCAGGGCGACGATGGTGCCAGGTGGATGCTATAAGCAGAGAAGCCTTTAAGTTGTGGCTGAAATAGCTCAGTTGGGAGAGCATCAGACTGAAGATCTAAAGGTCCCTGGTTCAACCCTGGGTTTTGGCAGTTTTTGGATAAATCTGATTTTGCTGAGATTTCACTTTGTGACCAGCAGCTACGAATCCTCCCATTTCATTGTTCCCTTTTAAATTATTTTCAAGTGTCCACAATCAGTCTAGTAGCTAGGGTGTCACATGCCGGAAGCCAGAGGATCGCTGCAAGTTCAAGGCCAGAAAGACACAGTCTCAAAAGACAAAAATAACAAAATATAAAATAAGCCAGACGTTGTGGAGGCCAGCCTGGTCTACCTAGCAAGTTCCAGGCTAGCCAGGGCTACATAGGCAGAACGCTGTGCCTTTTTTTTTTTTTTTTTTTTAAAGGGGGCAGGGGGTTGAGGTTGGGGCTGGAGAAGATGGCTCACTGGTTGCAGAGGACCAGGGTTTGAATCCCAGCACCCACATGGCAGCTAACTACTGTCCGAACTCCAGCTCCAGGGACTCCAATGGCATTGTACGACTCACTTCCTTGGGCATTGCACACAACACACAGGTGCACTCACATACATGTATATAATACACACAAAAATTTTTTTAATTATTATGTGCGTGCATTGCCTGCATGTAGGCAAGTGCACCTGTGTTGTGCAGTGCCTGCAGAGGACAGAAGAGGCTGTTGGATCCCCTGGATGTGGGTGCTGGGATTTGAATCTGGCTCTTCTGCAAGAACATTCAGTGTTCTTAACCAGAGTCATTTCTCCAGCCCCACATAAAACTTTTTAAAGTAAAATAAATGCTGGGAATGGGGGCGCATGCCTGAGTGCATAATCCCAGCACTCAGGAGGCAGTCAGGAGGAATTCTGTGAGTTCAAAGCCAGCCTGGTCTATATAGCAAGTTCCAGGCCAGTTGGGACTACAGGTAAGCCATTTCAAAAAGACACCCCCCCAAAACAAAACAAAACAAAACAAAACGTGGTAGGCATGGTGGTGCACACCTTTAGTCCCAGCACTGGGGAGGCAGAGGCAGGTGGAACTCTGTGAGTTCGAGGCCAGCCTGGTCTACATAGTGAGTTCCAGAACAGCTGAAGCTACAAGGAGGCTCTGTCTCAAAAAGACCAAAAAAAAATAAAAAAAATTCAGGAGTTGGTGATTGGCTCAGTGGATAGAGTGCTTGGAGCTCCATAGGTACAGTGCCTGGGTAGAGTGCTTGGGGTTCAGTGGGAGAGTACTTGAAGCTCAGGGGGCAGAGCATTTGCTTAGCTTGGCACAGGAAATTCTGGGTTTATCCCTACCACCACATAAACCAAGCACAGTATCACATGCCTGTCATTCCAGCACTCAGTAGGTGAAGGCAGGAGGATCAGGATCTGTTTAGGGTCAGCCTCAGCTACATTCTGAGTTTGAAGTAACCCTGGGCTATGTGAGACCAGAAGGCTCAGAAGGTGAAGGAGCTCTGCTCCTAAGAGTTTGATCTCTGCACCCTACAAGGTGGCAGGAGAGAACGGACTCCTGAACTGTCCTCTGATCACCATCATCAGCACATCATTGCATGCCCACACACACATTCAACATACATACACACAGAGACAGGCACAAAGACATACAGAAGCACGTAAACGCATTAAATCGAAACTGATTATGAATCTGTGGATCATTTTAGTTAACTTGACACACCTGAGTTGAGGGGGCCTCAACTGGGGAATTGCCTTCATTTGACTGGTCTGTGGCCATGTCTGTGGGGCATCTTCTTATTGAGTAATGTGGGAGGGCCCTAGGCAGGTGGGCCTGTGTTGTAGAAGAAAGCAAGTTGAACACGGGCCAGGGGAGCAAGGCAGTAAGAAGTATTCCTCCGTGGCCTGTGCTTCTGCCTCCAGGTTCCTGCCCTGAGTTCCTACCTTGGGCTCCCTGATAAACTGTGACCTGGGAGATGTGCCATATAAACCCTTTTCTCCCCAAGTTGGTAGTGGTCAGTGTTTTGTCACAGCAATTGAAGGCAAACTAGAACACCATCTTTGGTGCTTACCCTATTTTCTCCCTCATGTTCTGGCAACTCAACCCCGCCCCCCATAGTACTATGTTGCCTGTGCTCTGAGATGGGGCTTTTGGGTGGTGGGAGTCATGGATCCTTGATATGGCCTTAAACAGGCTTTGTAAGAGGACCTAGATATGGTGGCTCACTCCAGTGATCCCAGCATTCAAGAGGTGGAGGCAGGATTCTTGGGCATTCAAGGCCTGCCTGGGCTACAGTGAGATTCCCACTAAAAAAATAGGGGAGGGTGTAGTAACATGGCTTAGCAGGTAAAGGTGATTGTCGACCTCAATTTGAGCCCCATGTCCCTCATGGTGGAAGGAGAGAACAGACTCTCCCCACATGCACACCGTGGCATATACACTCACACCCCCCACCATAAACATAACAGTATTTTTAGAAAGAGAAGTCTAGGGTTGGGGATTTAGCTCAGTGATAGAGCGCTTGCCTATTAAGTGCAAGGCCCCAAGTTTGGTCCTCAGCTCAAAAAAAAAAAAAAAAAAAAAAAACAAAAAAAAGTCTAACATGCACAAGGTTTGGTTCACCCCCAGCTCCATGGAGGTCTAGATGGAATGTCCCCTCCCCATGTGCATTTACGCTAGGGTTGTGATGCAGCTTGAACCCCCATCCCCTGCCAAACCAAACCGCTGCCTGATCCCCAGCTGCAGTCCTCCTTGCCTGAGGATTGGCGGGGGTCCCAAACCTCAAGGAGACCTGTTGTGGGGAGCAGAGTGGGGTGACAACAGCTTCTGTGAACAGTTGTGGGCCAGCAAGAGTAGAAAAGGGAAAATGGGAAGAGGAGGAGGAGGAGCTAGAGGAGCAGGAGCAGGATGGGAAGAAGGGGAGAGGACAGCTTTGCAGGGCAGACAGGCATTCCTGGTGCTGGACTAAGGTTGTAGGATGTTCTGAGAATGGGCAGTGTTAGTGGGACCCCACCCTGCACAAGTGCTGGTTAGGTACTGTGGCAGCAGCTCCCCCCACCCCCTCAGCTGGTCGCTGTTATTCCCACTCCTTGCTCCTTCCTGAGATGAATCTTCTATTGTGGGGTCTGCATTCTCCAGGTCCTTGAGGGTAGGGAGATGACAGCAGATGGTGCCAGAGGGCCCGGGGACTCCCACCTGTAGAGATCTCAAATTAATCCCCACCACAAAAGCCGAAGCTGAGGAGGCTTCACTAGCTGGCAGCACTGCAGGGGTCCCTAGTGAGGTCTGTGGGTGTTCCAGGCATGGGGTGGGTGGAGGCCAGTGACACCCAGTACCAGGGCATACAGGAGTCATGGAGGGCATGAAAACACTAGCATAGTGAGGGGAGGATGCTGGGGCAGGTTCCTTGCTGTCCCTCATGGATCTGAGTGGGTCACTGGACTCTTGGTCCACCCGTAGCAGCCAGTCACAACCCAAGGAAATGCACTGGGCTTTGTCAAGGCAAGGTTGATACAGCACCCACAGGATTCAGGGCTTCCAGAGGTGTGACAGGGTGGGGGTGTTGTCTCCTCCAGGCCTGTGCTCACAACTACCCCAAGCCAGGGTACTGGGCTGTCCCCAAGGGACCCTATGTGGGGCAATCCGGGGCATCACTTCTCACCCTTAGAATGACTGTGGGGGCTCAGGAAAGGGGATAGGTGGAAGTTGAAAGCACTTGGTCAAGTGTCAAAAAAACATAGGGCTAACCCTCCTAAGATGCCTCCAGTCCCTTCCTCAGATGGTCCTCCACAGACAGCAGGACAAAGCACAGTACCAACAGACCTGGGCCCCACCTCCAGCCCCCTACCTTCCCTTGGATTTGGGCAAAGTCAAGTTCAACTAAAATGTCAGAGAAGGCCAGGTGTGGTGGCAAATGTCTTTAACCCCAGTAACTCGGGAGGCAGAGGCAAGGGAATCCCTGTGAGATGGAGGCCAGCCTGGGCTACATAGTTAAGTTCTAGGCAGACTGGGGGTTTACAGATAGATCTACAAAAATTATATATATATAGCTTCAACGAGTGTCTGCAGACAATGGCTGCAATGCTCCTCTGTGTCCCTAGATATAGATATTGGGTGATTCACACCCAGACCTGTGGGTCCCACATGTTCCCAACCTGTTCTGTGATGGCTTTGGCCACCTAGGTGTGAAGTACATCAGGGTGTCCCCACAAGCAAATCCTGGGGTGAGCTTCCCCCCTGCCCAAGACCTGTAGCCCAGCTAACTGGTGCAGCGTGAGTGCCAGCTGTGAACGGCTGGTCACTGGCTTGGGCTGACCTGGCCAAGGTATGTCCTCAAGGCCACAGCATCCAACATGGGGTCACCCCATCCCCAGCTCTCCAGGGTCCTGGGTGGGAAGCAACCATAGCCGTTCAGGACAACCCTTCGGGCACTGGCCACAGAGGCCACTGCACAAACGTCTCCAGCTGTGGCTCCAGTGTGAGGGTCCCCACCCTGTCACGGAGGAGTGGCAGAGAAGATCCCAGAAACCATGGATAGGGAGAAGAAAGCCAAACAAGACCAGAGAAATGTTAAAGCTCTTAAAGCGGTGTTCAAATCAGTCTTTCCAGAAACTTCTGTGGAGGGCTAGGGCAGCGCGGAAATGGAACCCCAGTGCACACAGGGGTTACTGTACGGTGACCATCAACATGTGCATTCAAATATTATTTTTTCTTTTAAAACCTTTCAGAAATTAAAAAAAAGAAACAACAAAACACACACACACACACAAAAAAAACCCAGAAGGCAACTCTCCCATGGCTGCCAGGCAGCTTCTGGCATGAGGACATCCAACCTCTGGGATGGACTGAAGACCCAGGTCCCACAGAGCCAAAGCCAGCACTCCCCTGGGCCACCCACTTTCTAGAACATTCTCTCAGGGTGCTGTTCCCCACATGGATACTGCATGACGGCCTACTTGTCACCGTCGGCGCCGGCTCCTCTCTTCCAGGAGCTCGTTGTCAAAGATTTCCTTTTCCCTTCAGGAAATAAAAGACAGTCTGTGGTGAAGGAATTGCCGGGGTCACATGTCCAGTCACATCCTGGAGTGATGGCCACCACCCTGAGCACAGGACAGTAAACCCAAGGTTACCTGTACTATGCACCATCAATGGGTTTTTGTTGAGAGGTCTGGGTTATTTGGAGACAGGGGCTCATGTAGCCCAGGCTGGCCTTGAACTGACTACGTAGCTGCAGTGCTGGGATGAACCCACAGTTTCATGCAGGCTGGCCAGCACTCTACCCACTGAACCCCAGAGTCCTTTTTCTTTTTGGGTTTTTGATACAGGGTCTCCCTGTAGCCCCAGCAGCACTGGCAGTTGTTATTCAGATCAGGCTGGCCTAGATCTCAGAGATCTGCCTGCTTCTGCCTCCCAAGTGCTCGAACTCCAGACTTAGCTCCTTAGGTGGGTGCTGGGGATGGAACTTGGGCCCCCAGCTTGCAAGGCAAGCCTTTATTGACTAAATCCCTTTTTCTGAGAAGCCTCACTGGGAAACCCAGGCTGGCTTGAACTCAGGATCCCACCTCAGCCTTCCGAGCATGGATGTGACAGGCACTTGTTCCCAGGCCCCTGGTGTACTGTGAACTCAGGGATGACAAGAAGGGCAAAGGCCAGGAGCCCCACCTGTCCTGGCTTCTTTGGGCACTGCCAGGCCCTCAATGGTGCCCTGCTGCCCTCCACAGACACTGACTGGCTTTCAGGGGCAGTGCACCCCTCGGCGCAGTGGAGCCTGGTATGTGGCGTAGGACAGAGACTTGGCCTGTAGCTGTGGTGTCATCTGCCCCCTGCCTGTCACTGCCCTGCCCTGCCTGGCTCACAGCAAGGCCTGGCAGTGCGCCCAGAGGTGGATTAGGGGCTCTGGAGGCCACAAAGCCCAAGACAGCTCAAGGCCAAGCAGGAGGCATCTTCATCCAGCACTGACAGCCGTATCGCCTCTTAATCTTGCAGATTCCTGCACTGGCCACATGCTGCAGTAGGCAGCAGGCTGAGCACAGCGCCCTGACAAGTAGATTACAGGGGCCTTGGGCAGAGCACACGACCAGGCTGTTGCAGGACAAGTGCCAAGGGCTGGGCCTGCAGGGGAGGCAGTGGCCCAGCCAGGCCCCCTGGCCAGCATCCAGCCTAGCCACACAGGAGCAGCCTGGAGACCTGACTACATCCAGCCATGCCTGGAAGACAAGCGGTTCCAGCTCACCCCTCTGCACCCAGTGCCAACACAGATCACTGAGGTCACATCACAGGCCTGGCACCTCTGTGTTAGAAGGGGGCTGTCAGCCCTGTCTATGTAGGAAGGGAACCCTGGAACACCCAGCACTGAGAAGAATAGCCACAGAGGCCCACCTGTAGCTGAGGGTCGGGCCTTGGATGTACTTCTGCTCTGCAGTCTTGTAGTCCACAGCGTCCACTGCAGCAATGGCACAGATGATTGCCTGCAGGGAAAAGTGATGGCTGGGCAGTGGCTCAGTGGGCAGAGTGCTGGCAGCTCAGTGAGTAAGAGTGCTTGTAGTTCAGCAAGCATAAAGTCCTGGGTTCATCCCCAGCACCACATAAACCAGGCATGGTGATGCAGGCCTGTCATTCCAGTACTTGGGAGGTACAGGCAGGAGGATCAAGAGATCAGGGTCGGCCTTGGTTACACAGTAAGTTTGAGGTCAGCCTGGGCTACATGAGACTCTCACCTCAAAAACCTGAATATACCACAGTTGTTTGACTAAGGGATTTAAGAAACTACTGTCAGTTTTCACAGCTGAAACCACACTGTAGTTCGGGCAAGTATGTTCTTTTGTTTATTGAGACAGAGCCTTACTCTGTAGGCCAGGCTGGCCTGGAATTTGCAATTCTCCTACCTCAGCCTCCTGAGTACTAGGATGACAGGCCTGAGCCACACCTTGGCAAATACGGATTTCAGAGTTATCATGTTTGCGGCTGGAGAGATGGCTAGGTGGTTAAGAACACTGGTTGTTCTTACAGAAGACCAGGGTTCAAATCTAACAACTGTCCATAACTCCAGTCCCGGGGGATCTGACAGTCTCTCCTGACCTCCTTGGGCATTGCACAACATGGGTGCACTTACCTACATGCAGGCAGTACGTGCATACACATGAAATAAAAATAATCTAAAAAAAAATTAGAGTTATGTTTTATGACGGAGTATTTTCTCCTCAGTGTGGATGGGGCGACCAGGTCGTTCTCTGTGGGGTGTCTTGGACCCTGCACGGTGCTGAGCAGCGTCCATGGCCCCATACATTCCACACCAGAAGCCTCCTCACTGGGACAGTTACATCTGTCCTCAGACATTGCTTTCACCCTGGTGGGCAAAATCAGTTTTTTGGGGGCTTTTTGAGACAGGGTCTCCCTGTAGTCCCAGTTAGCCTGGAACTCAATATGTAGACCCAGCTGGCCTTGATCTCACAGAGATTCATCTGCCTCTGCCTCCCAAGTGCTGGAGTTAAAGGCATGCCCAGCTAAAGATGCACACAAAAGTACTCATGGGTGATATAGGGCTGGCTGTGGTGGCACAGATTTGTCACCCTAGCTACTAATGAGGGGAGACCCCAAGTCTGAGGCCAGGCTGAGCTACAGAGCCCATCCCAAAAATTCACCAAAGTCCCCGAAACCCTATTGGGTCAGGGAGGGTACACAGCCCACCACACTTTCCTTCTATGTCTGTGGATACATTCACAGATGTGAATGAGGTGACAGGATGGGGACCGAGGATCTGGGCAGGGGACAGTGACTGGCAGCTTCTGGAACTCTAGCCAGGACCCAAGTTCAAGGCCTGGCCAGGGGACCTGAACGCCCACTCACCTCTGGCAGCAGTACATCCAGGATGAAACGAATTCGGTCTCCACTACCCTGTGCAGGCACCTCACCGTCCATGTCACGGCAGACACCCTGTAGGTACTCCACTACCTCGTCCAGCTGTCCTTCATCCTCCAGATAGGTCTCTACACATGTCACATACTGGCCAGAGCTCAGGAATGTCTTGAGCCAGCGGGATGGCTTGCGGCTATGCAGGATGGCCCGCAGGTGACTCTCAGCACCCTTGGCCTTAACAATGTACTCCACCAGCTTCTGGTTGGCACGGTCCCTTGCAGCCCGGGAGCGGTCAGGCAGAACCTTCCTGCAGGGACGCCACTGCCCCAGCGGGCTGTCCCCCAAGGGCTTCTCAGGGTTGCCCTTGCCCAGCTGAGGGAACCTGGTCCCCAACAGGTCCTGTTGGATAGACTTGCGCACAGGGTAACCTGTGAGGGAGCACATGGCATGAGCTGGCATCCTCGGGACCCTCACCTCCTCCCTCTGGAGATCTCAGGCCAGGGATGCAAGGGAAGTCCCGTCCTGTTGCCCATGTAACACACTGGTCAAATGCCTCTGCACAGATGCCTGCTACATAGCGAGTGGCTCAGCAGGTCACTCAGCTCTGCCAAGGGTGGGCTGGCACCTTGGTGTATGCCCCCAAAAGCAGGAGACCCAGGCATGACAGTCTCTCAAGGGCACAAAGGAGGCCCTATGAGGAATGGCGCACTTGTACTCACTTATATCAGCAGCATAATATTCCAGGAAAGAGCCAGCGAAGGAACCGCAGCCTGTAGGGGGTAGGAGAGGGCTGTGCTCAGAGCCCTGCCCTATCAGGTGCTGTGGGCCAGAATGACTGGCCAGGGGCCTCCTAGTGTGTGCCTGACCCCCAGGCTGGGGACAGAGAGGCAGAACTGACAGGGGAAGCTGGCTTCAGTCCCACCTCCATGGGGACAAGACTGCAGGGCCAGTCTGGTCAAGAAGAATCCAGGTTGAGCACTGTCAACAACACAGTGTGCCCCAGTTCCACATAGTATGGCCCACATACCCAGCCGCACACGGTAGTCTGTGATGAGAGAGACGCACCAGCCAATGGCCTGGGCAAAGTCCTCCTTGGCTCTATCCTGCAAAGTGAACACAGGAGGGCATGAGCGGGATCTGAGGCAGCACTGAGTTCTGGGTCTGGGGTGCTAAGCTAGGGTGGGCCTTACATGTGGCTAGGAAAAGCTGCTCACCCACTCAGGTGGACAGGTACTTCCAGGGCAGCCAGCATCCACCAGACTGATATCTGACTTTTGGTGGGGTTTTTGTTTTTTTTCAGACCAAGTTTCAAGTAGGTTAGAGGGGTTTGGAACGTGCTATGTAGCTGAGGCTAGCCTTTAACTCCCAATCCTCTGTCCTCTGCCTCCCAAGTGCTGGGATGAGTTTGTGCCACCATGCCTGGCCAGGCAGACATGTGAGAAGCTGCAAAGTCCACTGTCTGGAGGTTTGTGTGCACAAGGATACCACACGCCCACCATGTCAGATGTGAGGTTTCCGGAGAGGGACAAAGGCTATGGGTACCAGCCCCTCCCGAGGGCCTCCTGCTACTCAAGAGAAAATGACACCTCCTGCCTGTCCACTGTGCAGCACCATCCATTCTGGTCAGCTCAAAGATACAGTGCAAGGCTGGCCTGATGCCCTGCCAAACAGCACCACAGACCAGAGTGGGTGACTATAGCTTGGCAAAGACCTGCAGGTTCCTGCAACAGCAACAGCAGCGTCATACATGTCACCCAACACAGACAACATGAGACTGAGTGCCTACAGCCCAGGTGAGCCCCATACGGCTCTTTTCAGGTGCTGGGTGTGACCCCAGAAGCACAGGCAGCATGCCCTAGCCACACACAGCAGGCTTCAGTGAACCAGTCCCAGCACCCCAAACACCTGGCCATGTACTGGGAGAAATGAGACTGCCCTCCAAACAGAATACCATTTCCCATATCCATATTTGTGCGCTCACCTGTGTGGACTGATGTCAGGTATTGTCCTTCCTGAGTACTTGTGTCCACCACAACCAGCTGCCACCTTGATTTTCTCAATTTTATTTATTTTCTTTTTATGTGTATAAGTGTACTGTCTGCATGTAAGAAGTGCACCCATGCCATGCAATGTCTGGGAGGCCAAAAGAGGGTATTGGATCAGATCCCTTGGAACTGGAGTTATGGTTGTTAGTCACAATGTGGGAACTAAACCCAGGTCTTCTGCAAGTACGTTTAACCACTGAGCCAGGCCTCCAGCCTCCACCTTTTTTTCTGAGGCAAGGCTCTCTGAACCTAGAGACCAGCACTCAAGAGGCAGAGGCAGACAGATCTCTGTGAGATTCAGGCCAGCCTGGGCTACATGGTGAGTTCCAGGTCAGCTGTGGCTACAGGGAGACCCTGTCTCAAAACAAACAACAAACAAAAACCAAAACCAGACAAGTGGTACCCTTAAAGCTAAATTAGACTTTAAAAATGTAGCTTTTTCTCATATTCAGCATGGAACCTGCGGCCATCTACCTGCTTCAGCCTCCCAAATGCTGAGAAAGCCCAGCCCTACACCACTGCACCAGGCTCTTGACACATCTCTTCCCAGGGACACTTGGAAATCACAAGACATGGAGACAAGCTCCTGTGTCCAGACATCTATCAACAGTCAGGCCCAGCCCCAACTCAGGCCTGCTGTGTTCCCCATACTCCTGGACCATACCCAGGGTGGACCACACCCAGGGTCCCCAGCTGGTGGGGGCCTGCATCCCAACACCCCAGGGCAATAGTCAGCAGAGGAGGGAGCGTGTTGGGCCAAACAGTCCTGGGCCTGTGTTGTAGTGTGGTCTCCTAAAATAGGGACATAATGAGCAGTGCTCAGTGTGGCTCTGAGGATCATACTTGGGGACAGATCTGGAATGGAACTATCTGGGACAGCACCTGCTCCCAGCTCTAACCTGTCTTTCCATCACCCACACCAGCCACAGAAAACCTCTTATAGGAGCTGGACTGTGATTCAGTGTGTAGAGTTCTGGTAGCTCAGACGGCCCACGGTCACCTACCAGCAGCATGTGCTTCTCTGAGCAGTCAAAGTGCTTCAACCTCCTCAGCGACACGGTGATTCTTGACAAAGCAGAGGTCATGGTCAGCAACAGCACCCTCAGTGCAGGACCAAGAATTCCTTCCCCACCCAGAGCCAACTCTGAGCTAGGCTGCGGCACATCCACATCCATTAATGGAAAGTGATATGCTCAACTACCAGGGTCCCTGGAGCGGCTGGGGTATGCTTATATGACCCTGAGCACCACTGTGGGGCCTGATCCCCATGGGCCCCATCCCACCAGCCATCCGAGGCAGCACACTGGCACTCAGGGTCACATGAGGCCAGGTCTAAGCGTCAGGCTCTCGAGGGTGACTGAGGTGGCTCTGAGGTCACTGAGTCACCCTGAGGGAGCACAGGCCCTCAGCTCAATGGTCAGGCCAATCCTAGCCAAGGTGAGAGATGTCCTTTGCTTCCAACAGGGTGCAGGGAAACAGGGAGCTGGAACAGTGCAGAGGCACCCAGTGAAGCTGTTTACACTAGGCTGTGTGGGCAGCGCCTTTGCTAGGGCACATGGGGACCTCCTACCCCATCTGGGCTCTGGCTGTCAGCACGTCTCCCAGCTTACCCTCGGCCTTTGGGGTTCATGTTGCCCTCAATGAACAGCACACTGGCCTTCTTGTCCCTCCGCCGCACACTCTTGACCTGTGGGAAGACGCAGGACACCCGTGGGAAGAGGCAGAGGGCTCCCTCAACTTCCTCAGAGGCCATGCCTGGTGCTGGGAGCAACCTAGGCTTGAAGCCAGTTGTGCCACATGGTTTTGTGGTATTCTGTGGAGTAGAATCCAGAAATTTTCATTTTGGTCTTTTTTGGGGAGTTGGGGAGATAGGTTCTCCCTATAGCCCCAGCTGTCCTGGAACGCCCTATGTAGCCCAGTGCTGGGATTAAAAGTGTGCCACCACCATACTTGGGACATTTTGGTCATTTAAAAAACAAAATCGGGGCTGGAGAGATGGCTCAGTGGTTAAGAGCACTGACTGCTCTTGCAGAGGACCCGGGTTCGATTCCCAGCACCGACACTGTCCTTAACTCGAGTTCCAGGAGAGTCCGAAGCCACCTTCTGACCTCTGCGGCATAGCACGACATGGGTGCACTCACATACATTCAGGCAATACACTCATACACATAAAAATAATATTTAAAAAATAATAATAATAATAACAAAATCAGCCAGGCGTGGTGGCGCACACCTTTAATCCCAGCACTTAGGAGGTAGAGGCAGGCCGATCTCTGTGAGTTCAAGTCAGCCTGGTCTACATCGTGAGTTCCAGGACAGCTGGGGCTACAGGGAAACCCTGTCTCAAAAAGACCGAAAAAAAAAAAAAAAAAAAAACCACACACACACACAAAAAAAAAATCTTGGGGCTGGAGAGATGGCTTAGTAGGTAAGAGCACTGACTGCTCTTGCAGAGGACCCGGGTTCGATTCCCAGCACCGACACTGTCCTTAACTCGAGTTCCAGGAGAGTCCGAAGCCACCTTCTGACCTCTGCGGCATAGCACGACATGGGTGCACTCACATACATTCAGGCAATACACTCATACACATAAAAATAATATTTAAAAAAAAATAATAATAATAACAAAATCAGCCAGGCGTGGTGGCGCACACCTTTAATCCCAGCACTTAGGAGGTAGAGGCAGGCAGATCTCTGTGAGTTCAAGTCAGCCTGGTCTACATAGTGAGTTCCAGGACAGCTGGGGCTACAGGGAAACCCTGTCTCAAAAAGACCGAAAAAAAAAAAAAAAACCACACACACACACAAAAAAAAAATCTTGGGGCTGGAGAGATGGCTTAGTAGGTAAGAGCACTGACTGCTCTTGCAGAGGACCCAGGTTTGATTCTCAGCACCCACATGGCAGTTACAAACCGTCCTCAACTCCAGTTCCAGGGGAATCTGACACCCTCTTCTGACCTCCTCAGCATTAAACGACACAGGCGCACTCACATGCAGGCAATACACTCAATACACGTAAAATAAAAATATTTTTTAAAAAAATCTTTCTGTGCGCTGGGGCACACATGTAGCGTTAAGGAGGCAGCTCAGATATTGAAGCTTACTTCCCACCTTGTTTGAGGAGGGCTCTCTTCGTTGTTCATTGATATACTAGGCTGGCACACCTGGCTTGTAAGGATTTAAACCAGGTCCTTGGGCTTGTGCAGCACTCTACTCAATGAGCAGTCTCCCCAGTTGTTTTGTTGTATGAGTCTGGGTCTCAAGTAGCTCAGGCTGACCTTGAACTTGCTATGTTAGCCGAGGATGACTCTGAACTCCTGATCCTCCTGCCTCAGCCCCCTGAGTGCTGGAGTCAGAGACATGAACCACCACACTGGGCTCCAACCCTGGTCTCTTACTAAAGACCCATGTCCCTACTGTGCCTCGGCCTAAACACCCAGGGTCATTCGCTTCTGGGCTGAGTGGAACTGATCATAGAGGCTGGGTGCTAGCTTGCACTGGGGGAAGTAGAGAATCCAGTATGTGGACCTAACAGCTCTAGGGCAGCAGAGGGATAAGGCCAATGAGCCCCACCTGAGTAGTGTTGATGGTCCCCAAGATGCCCACCCTTGGGCCTAATCCTGTATGTGCCTGGGAATCTGTCATGCCCAGAACCCATCAGCCCTGTGGAGACTCTGCAAACAGACAAAAGTAGAGATGGTACCAGAAATGCTGGGGAAGGCAGGGGGCACTGAGGGAGGATGGAGATTCTCATATGCTGCATCCCCAACCCTGTGAAAGGGGCACATGGGACCTGCCACATATGCACCAAGCAAACTGTTCAGACTCTGTTGTTTCCACCCTGGGGATTCTGTCTCAGTCCTTCTGTTCTCCCTTTCTGTATCCCAAACTGGCCTACCTCCTCCCACCTTAGCCTCCAGAGTACTGGGATGACAGGCTTGTGTCACTCAGATGGACATTCCAAGATCAAATACCCTCAAAATATGACTAGGGTTGGGCGGTGGCTTTATGGCAAAGAGCTTGCCTAGAATGTTCCAGGCTCTGGCTGCCATCCTTATGAGTTGGGAAAAAACAAAAACAGCCAGGCATGGTGGCGCACGCCTTTAATTCCAGCACTTGGGAGGCAGAGGCAGGAGGATCTCTGTGAGAACGAGACCAGCCTGGTCTACACCCTCAATTCCAGACCAGCTGGAGCTACAGAGACCCTGTATCAAACAAAACAAAACAAAAAACCCGCAGAAAATAGTAAGGCTAACAAGGCCAGATGCAATGATGGCACCCTGTAACAGAGGACTGAGTGGAAGGTGGGAGGGAAACACAGGGCTGGGTGTGCTTCCTCTAGGGAACAGAGCCAGGTGCATGGATGATTCACCCCAGGGTCCAGCCTTAGCCCAGCTCACTGGCCCCATGGGCAACTGTCAGTGGGATTATGAACACTTTTTGTTTTCTTTCTTTTTTTTTTTTTTTCTTTTTATTTAGTCCCTGTAGAGACTGTCAAAAATTGCCAATGCTGACTATATTTCAAGTTGTCATGGCAGGGTATTGGGAAAATTTTTCAATTAGCAATAATCGCGCCTCGGATAAACCTCATTGGCTACGATACTGCCACTGCACAAAGCTTTCTTTTTTGAGACAGGACTTCACATAGCCCAGGCTGACCTCAAACTCTCTATATAACCGAGGATGACCCTGAACTCCTGATCCCCTTGCCTCCACCTCGAGTGGTGAGGTGTCAGGCATGCACCACCATGCCTGATTTACCACAGCATCTAAATTCAGAGGCTCTGACAGAGAAAGGCCTGAAACATGTTACTTAAGTTTAGTAAAGCACTTTGTTCATACAGGTTTTCCTAAGCCTGGGTGGTGCCAATATCACTTGGACTTCAGGTTAAACAGGGCTGAAATGATGCCCCCTGAGGTGGGGGCTGTGTGCCCTGTCTATTTCCAGAATAACAAAGCCACCAAACCACCTGCTAGGACAGGGGACAGGGAGGTGAGGGCGAGGGGCGTGGTGCCTGCACAGAGGGGAGAGCATGCTTACCACGGCTGGCCAGAACGGGTATTTTTGGTATTTAAGCCAGACTAGCATTCCTACTTCAAATGATCGTGGTTCTAAAATTAAAAAGGAAAAGAATATAGAGATGTGTCAAATCCAGCATAGAATAAGTATAATACAGCCAGAAAAAAAAGCACAATTTTTCTGTTTGTTTTTAAGTTTTCGAGACGGGGTCTACCTAGTAGCCCCAGCTGGTCTAGAACTATGTAGCCCAGACTGGCTTAAATCTCACAGAGATCTGCCTGCCTCTGCCTCCAGAGTGCTGGCATGACAGGAGTGCTCCAGCACGCCTGGCTTTCTGAATCAAACTCAACTCCATCTCTTCTTGTTAAGAACCCCAGACCAAGTGATGCTGTGGCGTCAGAGCTCCAGCTCCAGACTGCAAAACTCAGAGCTGTGAGGGAGACACCAGGCATGGGAACCAAAGGTGGAAGATGTGCTGACACCGACGTCTCAGACAACCCAGCCAGGGACCAGCAACTGTTAAAACATTTGGGCAAGTAGGTCAGGGAAGCTGGCAGCTCAAGCCTGCCACAGGAGTTTGGAGGCCATGGTGAAGCCACCTCAGCTGTGGCAATAGGTACACAGGGCCCTCCAAGCAGCTCTGGCTTGCTCTGCTCATGGGAATCAACCCCACACAGTCTCATTATGGGTCAGCTTAGCCGTGGCCACAGCAGCACCCATGCTCCTGAATCATTCTAGATACTCAGCAGGGACTTAGTGAGGGCACCTTTGCCCACTAAGGACTGGTAGATGAGGTGGGTACAGTCTAGGCTGGTACTCACTGAGACCCCTGAGAACATCACCAGCTGCCCTGCACCATCTGGGCTGGGTCTGTGTGCGGCCAGCTCAGGAGTCCTCAGGCTCCTGGTGACCAAGTCCTCCTCTCTCACTGCAATTTGGAGCCCAATACACATGTTCCTCAGCACCTATGCAGAGCCCTTTAGTGAGACCCATGCCCCCTGGACAGACTTGTCCCAGTGTCATGGGCAACAGTAGCCGCGGAAGGCAGTGAATGACTGTACCCAACTGAGGAAGACAAAGCTTACAGCCTCACTCGGTATCCCCACAAGGGCCAGCTGCCTCTGAGCCTTTGGAGAAGGGGACAGGACCCTGACCATGTCTGTGGTCAGCAGGGGCATAAAAAATAAAGCAGCATGAACCGGGCATGGTGGCACACACCTTTAATCCCAGCACTCAGGAGGCAGAGGCAGGTGATCTCTGTGAGTTCAAGGCCAGCCTGGTCTACATAGTGAGTTCCAGGACAGCTGGGGCTACAGAGAGACCCTGTCTCAAAAAGACCAAAAATAAATAAATAAATAAATAAAACAGCATGATGAAGCCAGGGTTGGGGCGCTTGCCTGTCAACACAGCATTTGGGAGGCAGAGGCAGGGAGCTCTCTGTAAGATCAAGGCCAGCCTGGTCTACATGGCAAGTTCCAGGACAGTTGGGCTACTGGGAGACCTTGTCTCAAAATAATAATAAATTTAAAAGACTGGAGAGATGGCCCTGGATTCTCAGTACCCACATAGTGGTTAACTGCTCATAACTCCAGTTCCGGGAGGTCAGAATCCAACACCATCTGCATGACACAGGTACACTTACATACATGCAGGCAATACACTCATACACAGAAAATAAAAAATAATTAAAATATTTAAATAAATAACTTTTGGGTTTTTTTGGTTTTTTTTTTTTTTGGTCTTTTTTGAGACAGGGTCTCCCTGTAGCCCCAGCTGTCCTGGAACTCACTATGTAGACCAGGCTGGCCTTGAACTCACAGAGATCTGCGTGCCTCTGCCTCTCAGGAGTACTGGGATTAAAGGCGTGCGCCACCACGCCCAGCTAAATAAATAAATTTTAAAACAAGATTTAAAAAAGCAGTCTGGACAGCTTTTGGGGGGGGTGTGTCTTCTTACCACGATACAGAAGGATCTGGGGTGGCTCCTCATCCTCATCCTCATCCTCATCCTCTAGCAGGGAGCGGATGGAACTGAATTCCTCAGACTTCTCTGGTGATGGAGGATCTGCAGGGAACAGGACAGTCACCGCTCTTGACAGCTGCCTGTGCCACAAAGCCACACTCAAAATTAAACAAGAAACACCTCTGTCAAAGGACTTCGGGTTTGTTTTTTTCCCCCCTTTTCTTTGTCTTTTTGAGACAGGGTCTCCCTGTAGTCCCAGCTGGCCTGGAACTGGCTATGTAGACTAGGCTGGCCTCGATCTCAATGAGACCTGACTGCCTGTGCCTCCAAAGTGCTGGGATTAAAGGCAAATGCCACTATACCCACCCCTTTAAAAAAAATTTTACATAGAAATGTGTGTGCCTGTATGTTTGCACAAATGCTACCCACAGAGCATGTGGAGGTCAGAGGACATTTTGTGGGAATCAGTTCTTTCCTCCTACCACGTGTGTCCAGGGATCAAACTCAAGTCATCAGGCTTGGCGGCTAGTGCCTTTACCCATTGAGCCAGCTTGCCTGCCCCTTCTTGTTGCTGTTGAACAAAGCAACTCAAGTTTGCGAAGCAAGAGCCCTCCAGCTCCCCAGCCCCAAAGTACCTTTTAAAGAAAAATACACGAGAGACACAGACAGGCCACAAGTGACAGAATGTGATAGCCCTCTGAATGAGAGAAATTGGGGGACTCCAGGTGGCGACACTGCGTGCATTTTCTTCTTGAATGTCACAGCGGGGAGACACACAGGAAGTGGGCCAGAACCAAGAGGCAACTGCGAACAGGGCTCATGGTCCCTTCTCCCCAGAATGCAGTGGAGGGGACCAGTAAAACCAGAGGACAGCCCAACCTGGTGATGGACAATTGCAGTCCAGACCCCACTGTGTCCCACATCTGCCCTTCTACACACAGGTAGAGATTTGTGAGGTCCCTTGTCAGAGCTCAGAGGGACAGACATGGTTAGAAGGGACCAACTCCCCATAAGACAGCACTGAAGGATGAGGGTGACCTCCTGACTTGGGGCCTCCTAATCCCCAGCCTCACTTGCTGGAAATATGCTTTTAACAATGAAACTTAAGGGCTGGAAAGATGGCTCAGCAGTTAAGAGCACTTGCAGAGGACCTAGGTTCAATTCCCAACACCTACATGGCGGCTACGAACTGTCCTTAACTCTAGTTCCAGGGGAATCCGAAGCCCTCTTCTGACCTCCGCAGCATTGCGTGACACAGGTGCACTCACAAACACTCATAAAATAAA